AAATAAAAAGGTGATCAAAAAGTAAAAAATAATAAGAATACAATTATTTAAAAAAATAAGAAAATAGTTATAAAAAATAAACAATAATAAGATAAAAAAAATATAAAAAATAAAAAAGTAAATGATAAGCTAAAAATGTAAAAAAATTAAAAAAAAGTGATAAAGTTTTAAAAAAATAAAGAAACAATAAAAAAATAAAAAAATAACCCTACCGCCCCTGCCATCCGGTTGCTATTCTCCGTTGAATGGGGGGGGCGTGGGGGGGAGGGGCGCATTGCAGAACCTGGCCTTGGGGCAGCAGGGAGAGTAAATCTGGCCCTGTCTGAGACTGAAACCTTTGTAACCTGCCTGATGGACGTGTAGCAAACAAGGATTACCCGGGGTGTGTACAATCATTGTAGATATAAGAGGCAATTCAAACACATTTCCTTCAAATCTGAAAATAGAGAACTAATGATCCAACGACTTGTTGACCGGGTTTAGTCTGAACCTGAGCTCATCCCTACTGCTGATTAGTGATGGGCCGAATAGGCCAGAGATTGGTTAGAATTCGAACTTTAGAATATACAAAAAGTTTGAATTTGAACTCAATGTAAGTCAATAGGTGTGTAACTTTTAAAAACAATTGTCCCCTTTAACCCCTTCATGACTGAGGCCCTTTTTTCATTTTTTGCACCCATGTTATATTCCACATTTTAGGCCTGAAAATGACGTAAAACCCCAGGGGGATCTGTACGATCTATAGAACCTGCTGCAGCAAAAATGACATTTCTAAAGAAAAAAAAATATTATTTTTTTTTATTCTCAAAGCGTGCCGGTCCTCCTCCCAAACAATACCAGACCCTTAAGGTCTGTTAGGAATATTTAGGAGGGACCCCGTGTAAAAAAAAAAATGAAAAAGAAACTGTGGGGTTCCCCCTTAAAGTCATACCAAGCCTTTAAGGTCTGGTAGGAATTTTAAGGAAGAACCCCACCCCCAGAAATGGGGGAGGGACGTGGGGTTCCCCCTAAAATTCAGGAAAAAAAATCCTTTATTTGGAAAAAAAAACAAAAGTCATATTTTTGACAATTCCTTTATTTTAAAAAAAGAAAAACAACCCAAAAAATGGATCCATCGATGTAATCCAGCGTCAATCACGACGTCCAGCATTGTCCACGACGATGACAACTCGACTAAATAAAAAATAAAACAATAAAAAATAAATAGAAAAAATAAAAAACCCCGACGAGCTCCGTCCCATCCGCACGTGAGGAACACCCGCCGCATAATGGCATTTTGACAGATGCCGGCAAAACATAAACAATTGGGGGGAGCTAGCAGTGACACTTCCTGTCTGGTAAAACATGTGTGACCAGAAAGGGAAGTGAGGGGAAGTCTCTCTAACGGGCTCTGGATAACAGTAAAACCTAAAAAGAGTTTTAGTATTAGTTATTATATAACGACATCACAGAATGACATCAGCAATTCATTACATTACAGAATGTTCCAGCAAATTACTGACAACGTTGCAGCTTACAGTCTATTTCCTGATGAAGACGTCTTTAGAACAATGGAAGAACATTATATGTATAATCATGGAGTGTGTTTTGTGTTTCTTTCTTCAGCTGTCAATATCGCCAGAAGCGGGGAAGCCTCACAGAGTTCTACTATCACTAGAACTGTAAATTGTAATGTTAGCAATGCCATTGATGGCGGGAAAGATCAGAACTGGGGTCATGGTTCCTGTAGCCACACAGATAATGACATGGCACCCTGGTGGAGACTGGACCTGAAGCAGAAATACAAAGTCAACATGGTTGTGTTCTATGGCAGATCGGACGGCTATTTGTATCGGATGAATGGTCTCGAGGTCCGAGTTGGAGATTCTCCGAACAATGACAACCCAGTGTGAGTACATCAGGGCCAGGACACTGTAAGGGCCGGCGTCAATGGACTTTGTGCTTGTGTTGATGGCATCACATGAAGATGCTTCTGAGATTATTTGGAATTCATTGACAGGCGCATGTGACCTGCATTTGACCTCATTTGAACTTGCAGTTGACCTCCTTCTGATCAGCATTTGACCTGTATTCTCATAGACCTGTCTCAGAGTTACAAAACGCATCTGAACAAAAGCCCATCAATATAGACCCTAAAGGTGATAGGCGCTCAGCGCCACCTTGAACCCAAAATAAGAGACAGCACTGTGTGACTGGATTTTACTCACAGGGCAAGCTTCTGATAACAAAGACATCATTAAATATAAAATTAGACTGGGGTACCTGGGGCCCACCAGATGAAGTGAGAGTGAGGGCCCACCTTCAAGCGCTATGCACTAAAATGAACCGTGATAAGCTTCGGGTTGACTACAAGTTCAACCCTGAACTCAAGCAGTTGGCAGTGTGACAAATGGGTGAATGGTTTGCCCAGCTCCCCCGCCCACCAAACCTCTGTGTCCTAGCAACCAATTACACTGTGAGACCTGCCCAGTGTTATTGGTTGACTGGTGGATGAGCCACAGGGCATCAGTGGTTGGTACGAAGCAGGCAGGTAAACCAGAACAACCTAGGATGCTCTGGAGCCGCCAACATCTAAGCAACCAATGATGCCGGTTGCTAGGACACCGGCAGCCCCATCATTGATTGTTAGGGTCCAGTGCGGACCAGTTGCTAGCAACTAATTATGATAGTACACAGACTGCCCCGGCTTTGGTTTGCTTGAACGTTTGCCAAACCCGGATTTCTGGCTGGGTTCAGAGAACACCTAAGTGACTGAACCCAGGCCAGTTTTCTCATCACTAGTGGTGAACAGGGGGTTTTGGCTTACTCTGAGGGGCGTGGTTTAATGGGTATGGTTTAATAGTGAGTTTAGTAAGTTTTCCCCAAAGTCACTCCGCTCATCTCTATTGCCTAGTTATTATACATTTCTGTGTTTTATTAAGCCGCATAGCAGTGTATGTTTTCTATGGACACATTTTTCTCCCCCAAGTGAACGGGTTCCATTTTCTGTATCATTGTGTTGGTCTTTGCTTGTCCTTGGCAGGTGCGGTACGATCACCAACTCTAATATTACCACCACAACTTTCTGCTGTGATGGGATGGCGGGTCGATACATCAGTGCGGTGATCCCGGGACGCAGTGAATACTTAACCCTGTGTGAGGTGGAGGTCTACGGTGAGCTTGCGCCTGAGGAGTATGACGTCTGCTAGTAAAGTACATTGTAGAAGAAATACTTAAAGTTCATAATAAAATGTCATGTCTATAGGGAACATATCCTCAAGACCTCCGAAATTGTGACACGTCTATGTTTCCCCAGCTGTCGGGAGGAGGATGTTTTCCGCAGCACACCTTGTAGTTGTAGTTGGGAAATAATGGATCTAAAAATAAATAAAACTTTGTTACTCAGAAAAACAAAAACTGCTGTGTTCATGTCTAAGGGTGCCCACATACTTTACGATAATCGTACGATAATCGCGGGAAATCCCGCGATCGTACGATTATCGTAAGGTGTGTGGAAGCTGTGTGACCTCTACTACACTACTACTGTAAGGTCGCAAGACTTTTAACTTATGAACATGTTCGAAAACCCGCCGAGCATCGTATGATGTTCGGCGGGTGTGTAGGATGTTCGTAAGATAAAAGCCGGACGGGCCGTTGTGCGCAAGCACACACTGCCCCGTTCAGCATTGCGGTCATACTCCCCCAAGTGAACGGGTTCCATTTTCTGTATCATTGTGTTGGTCTTTGCTTGTCCTTGGCAGGTGCGGTACGATCACCAACTCTAATAATGCCACCACAACTTTCTGCTGCAATGGGATGGCGGGTCGATACATCAGCGCGGTGATCCCGGGACGCAGTGAATACTTGACCCTGTGTGAGGTGGAGGTCTACGGTGAGCTTGCGCCTGAGGAGTATGACGTCTGCTAGTAAAGTACATTGTAGAAGAAATACTTAAAGTTCATAATAAAATGTCATGTCTATAGGGAACATATCCTCAAGACCTCCGAAATTGTGACACGTCTATGTTTCCCCAGCTGTCGGGAGGAGGATGTTTTCCGCAGCACACCTTGTAGTTGTAGTTGGGAAATAATGGATCTAAAAATAAATAAAACTTTGTTACTCAGAAAAACAAAAACTGCTGTGTTCATGTCTAAGGGTGCCCACATACTTTACGATAATCGTACGATAATCGCGGGAAATCCCGCGATCGTACGATTATCGTAAGGTGTGTGGAAGCTGTGTGACCTCTACTACACTACTACTGTAAGGTCGCAAGACTTTTAACTTATGAACATGTTCGAAAACCCGCCGAGCATCGTATGATGTTCGGCGGGTGTGTAGGATGTTCGTAAGATAAAAGCCGGACGGGCCGTTGTGCGCAAGCACACACTGCCCCGTTCAGCATTGCGGTCATCGCAAGTACGATCTGCCTGTCCAAGATAGGTAGATCGTACGTTTTTTTAAATTACCTTACAACCATCGCAAGACAGAAGTCTTTCGATGGTTGTAAGGTGTGTGCCCAGCATAAGGCAGTGGTTCCAACCTGGGGGTCGTGACCCTGTCGGGAGTTGAATGACGATTTGCCAGGGGTTGACTAGCGGCTCCACCCGGGAGCTTTCTCTGCTCTGTTTTATTTTATTTTTTTATGACATCGGGCCCGCAGTCAGTCAGAAAAAAAAAAAGAGGGCAGAGGGGGGCCTGCAGTTCTCCATCAGGTCCCCATCTAGTGATTGACAGCAGCAGAGGGCGGGTGCAATAGCTAGTTTGCTATTGGCTATTGCAAAGCGAAATAGCCAATAGAAATCTAGTTATGCATTCCTATGGTGTTTTTTTTTTTCTTCTGACTGACAGGGTTAAAAGTAACCCTGTCGCTCCGTGTGCACAGTGAGAGGGGATTGCAGTCTTCACCTCTCATAGGAGTTCAAGCGCAGTGCAGTGCTGGAACTCCTGTATTGGAGGGGACAGGATCAATAAAGAGAACCTGTCACCTCCAATTGCTATTACACAGGGGCGTGTTAGATCTGTGTGATAGCAATAAAGTTAAGTGGAAAAAAATTGATTAAAACATTATTAAAGAAAAAAAATAAATAAAAAAAGTTAAAAGTAAAAAAAAGTGATAAAAAAGTAAACATAAAATAAAATAAAGAAACAATAAAAATAAAAAAACTAACCCTGCCATCTGGTTGCCATTCTCCATTGATGGGGGTTGGAGGGGGTTAGCGGGGACGGGGGCGCATTGCGGAACCTGGCCTTGGAGCAGCAGGGAGAGTAAATCCGGCCCTGGGTGTTCATAACGCGGTTATATCCACAGTGCAGCTACCAAAAAGATTGTGCTTTCTACGCAGGCAATGTCAGGAGTCTGCTGTTGTTGTTCTAGGAAGGGTCGCTGTGTGATTTCTGCTGTGCTAGGTGAGAGTCCTCCTCAGCCCTCTCCTAGCGCAGCAGTGTCAGTTCTCCCGCCACCGTTGGGGGTCACCACGACTTGGCAAATGTTACCCGGCCCTAGAAAGGTTGAGAACCACTGGTCTAAGGGTCTATTTATAAACAATTCACAGAGCTATTCACACTGCGACTCTGTATGAGATGATGATTTGCCGACTTCCTTCATCCAATCAGGTGCAAGCAAAAAGACTGTTTTCCTTGATTGGGTATTCTTTGCAAAGTGAATTTTCACCCCAATCACTAAGCTAAGTGCAAATTCCCTTGGAAAGTGAACAGCTAATGTAATATGAGGACCTACCTGATCTAACCAATCACTTTGTATCCAATCAGACAGGCTCTTGTATTACATAGTTTGTGGTAGAGCTAAAGGAGATTGTACAATGGGATTGTAACGTGTGTGGTGAGTATGGCAGGAACTCAGACAGAAGAAAGAATATTTTTTTTGAGGTTACATAGGGGAATGCGAGAACATCTGTCAGCATTTTATTGTAATCTGTTGCCCTGTGGTCCCTCACTTCCTGTCTGGTAAAAAGCTTGTGCTCACAACAGGAAGTGAAGGGAAATCTCTCTAATGGAGCCCCTGGATAGCATTGCACAGTTGGTGGTAGAGATTGTACAATGGGATTGTAATGTGTGTGGTGAGTATAGCAGGAACTCAGAAAGAAGAAAAAATATTTTTTGAGGTTACATAGAGGAATGCGAGAACATCTGTCAGCATTTTATTGTAATCTGTGCTCATGTGGCAGATTTCCTCTCACTTCCTGTCTGGTAAAAAGTAGGGTTGCACAGATACCAAGTACAGTACTCGGTATAAGTACGAGTACATGTACCGATACTTTTGAGCTCCAAGACTAGACTAGAGAAAAATTAAAAAGTTAGGAGGCCGCTGTCATTTGTAAGGAGCACACGGAGCTCCTGGGATTTGTACATCTCTGTTATAATGTACGATTTTGTTTTTATAAATATAAATAAAGGGATGCACAGATACCAGTACGAGTACTGGTACTTGCCGAATACTTACAAGTACGAGTACTGATACATTTTTGTTTATTGTCATGTGACAGTTTTTCTAAAACAATACAGACTAATGATTTCAGGACAGTGGTGGAGCTCCAGAGCCGTGTCCCAGCTGCAACCGCTGCAACCCCGGTAGTTCTCATGAAAATGCCAAGTATCTGCACTGGTACTCGAAAAGTATCTGTGCAACCCTAGTAAAAAGTTTGTGCCCAGAAAAGGAAGTGAGGGGAAGTCTCTCTGGCGGGCTCTGGATAACAGTAAAACCTAAAAAGAGTTTTAGCTATTAATATTAGTATTAGTTATTATATAACGACATCACAGAATGACATCAGCAATTCATTACATTACAGAATGTTCCAGCAAATTACTGACAACGTTGCAGCTTACAGTCTATTTCCTGATGAAGACGTCTTTAGAACAATGGAAGAACATTATATGTATAATCATGGAGTGTGTTTTGTGTTTCTTTCTTCAGCCGCCAATATCGCCAGAAGCGGGGAAGCCACGCAGAGTTCTACTCTCATGTATCACGATATAAGTAGTGTTGCTAGCAATGCCATTGATGGCGGGAAAGATCAGGACTGGGGTCATAATTCCTGTAGCCACACAAATGGTGAATGGGAATCCTGGTGGAGACTGGACCTGCAGCAGAAACACAAAGTGAACATGGTTGTGGTCTATGGCAGATCGGACAGCCTTTTGGAACGGATGAAGGGTCTCGAGGTCCGCGTTGGAGATTCTCCAAACATTCACAACCCAGTGTGAGTACATCAGGGCCAGGACACTGTAAGGTCCGACATCAATGGACTTTGAGCTTGTGTTGATGGCATCACATGGAGATGCTTCTCAGATTATTTAGAATTCATTAATAGGTGCATGTGACCTGCAGTTGACTACCTTTTACCTTTATTTGACCTTTTTTGAACTTGCAGTTGACCTCCTTCTGACCTCCAGCATCTGGGTGACTACAGGCTCAACCCTAAACCCGAGCTGTTAGCAGTGTGACAAATGGATGAATGGTTTACTCAGCTTCCCCGCCCACCAAACCTCTTTGTCCTAGCAACCAATGATAATGTGCGACCTGCCGAGCATCATTGGTTGACTCATGGCTGAGTCACATGGCATCTATGGTTGCTAGGATGCAGACAGGTGACTCAAAAAAACCTATGATGCTGTGGAGACGCCAGCATCTTAACAACCAATGATGCTGGTTGCTAGGACACAGGCAGCCCCATAGCATCATTAATTGTTAGGCTCCAATACAGACCAGTTCCTAGCAACCCATTATGATAGTACACAGACTGCCCTGGCTTTTGTTTGCTTGGACGTTTGCCAAACCCGGATTTCGGGCTGGGTTCGGAGAACAATTACAATTATTGATTTATATAGCGCCAACGTATTCTGCAGCGCTGTACAATCGTTTAGACAAAACAAGTAAGAAACATTGACAAGCATCATTGAAATACAGAAAAAGTAGGTGAGGAGGACCCGGTTCAAACGAGCTTACAATCTAAGAACATCTAAGTGAGCTGAACACCGGACCAGTTTACTCATCACTAGTGGTGAAGAGTTGATTTGTCTGACTCTGAGGGGCGTGGTTTAATGGGTATGGTTTATTAGCGATATTAGTAAGTTTCCCCAAAGTCACTCCGCTCATCTCTGTTGCCTAGTTATTATTCATATTTGTGTCTTATTAAGCCGCATAGCAGTGTATGTTTTCTAAGGGCACATTTTCTGAATCTCCCCCAAGTGAACGGGTTCCATTTTCTGTATCATTGTGTTGGTCTTTGCTTGTCCTCGGCAGGTGCGGTAAGATCACCAACTATACTAATCCAACCACAACTTTCCACTGTAATGGGATGGAGGGTCGCTACATCAGCGCGGTGATCCCGGGGCGCAGTGAATACTTGACCCTATGCGAGGTGGAAGTCTACGGTGAGCTTGCGCCTGAGGAGTATGACGTCTGCTAGTAAACCTCAGAAGTACATTGTAGAAGAAATAGTTTAAGTTCATAATAAAATGTCATGTCTATAGGGAACATATCTTCAAGACCTCCGAAATTGTGACACGTCTATATTTTCCTAGCTGTCTGGAGGAGGATGTTTTCCGCAGCACACCTTGTAGTTGTAGTTGGGAAATAATGGATCTAAAAATATTAAAACTTTGTTACTCAGAAAAACAAAAACTGCTGTGTTCATGTCTAAGGGGTCTATTTATAAACACAGAGCTATTCACCCTGCAAATCTTTGTGAACGTTCATTCTCTTGGTAATTCCATCACTATGTCACCCTGAAGAAGGGACCCCGCGTGGCCCCCGAAACGTTGACTTAACCACTTGCTGACTTACACCCCCTTCCTGTCCAGGTCATTTTTCAGTATTCAGCGCTGCGGTACTTTGACTGACATTTACTCCGTCATACAACGCTGTACTGAAATGAATTTTATACTATTTTTTGGGGACACATAGAGCTTTATTTTGGAGGTATTTAATTACCACTGAGGTTTTTATTTTTTACTGTATTAAAGAAAAATTACAGAAAATTTTGAAAAGCAAAAGTTTTTTTTTTTTTACACTAAGTTAGGAAACAATGATTATTACCCAATTTTTGGGTAAAATATAAAAGACGGGGTCACATCGGGTAACTAATAAAGAGATGTCACCAGCACACCAGACTCCTTCAAGGATACTCAATCGTGAATTTATTCAAAACTTATGTCAAATACACAAGCGCTTTCAGGACCACACAGGATCCCTTCATCAGGCATAGAAGCCATAGAAGTGATGAAGGGATCCTGTGTCGTCCCGAAAGCGCTTGTGTATTTGACATAAGTTTTGGTGACATCTCTTTATTATCTGCAACTGGCGGCGCCATCCGCGGTCATTCCAAGCACCCTTCCCCATATTTGGGTCTATCCGGTAAGGAGTGCAACAAACCTTTCTCTTCGCATCGGGTAACTAGACACCAAACATGTCATGCTTTCAACGCTAGCTCCGCCCAATTGTTTATATTTTGCCAGCTTCTTTCAGATTCGACATTATGCAGCGGGAGTTTGACGTGTGCAGTCGGGCTGCCATGTGTTGTTTTTATTTTTGTTTTGTTTTCATTTTTTTTTTTAAATCTTTTTTTTAAAAAAAAATTTAAAATAGTTTTTCAACCTTTTTTTTATTATTATTATTTAACTTTTTTTCTATTTTGCTTGTTACCTCGGAGGTACTGAGCAGAATAGCCGAGAAGAATGCTGCTCGGCAGCTTTCGGCTATTCACTCACTGCCGTTCGGCCCCTATGAGAATAGGGGAGAACGGCAGCGAGTGAGCTGTCAGTGCTTCGGCTCAGCTGATCCAGATGTTGGATCGGCTGAGTCGAACTCCTTCTGCACTTCGGCCCAGCTGAACATGCAGAGCATGCTCGGCTGACCAAATTTCACCATTTCCAATGGTGGGTAGCAAGATCTGACTGGTTTCTGCAGTCTCTCATTCCTCAGAGATCCATCCTTGCCAAGGTATTGCTCATTAATATACATAATTGAAATGGGAAATGGCCTCTCCACAATCATCTCCAGCATGATGGATAACACCAAGGCCTGGTCGATCCAAGGCCTGGTCACACATTCAACATCACAATGACATGGTACATACCCCCAAAAAAATTTATGTGGACGAAACAAATGTGCATGTGCAGACACGGACCCCACTAACGGTGCACACATGCAACATCCTCGCCATCAGCCACCATATTGGAGACCAAATGGGGAAGGAGGGACCACCGGGACAAAAGACCTATCCTGTAAACAATGGACATGCCACCTGACAAATAGTGACCCAACACATCAGGTATATAGATTACATGAGGAGCACACATAAATCCCATGGTGTTATGTAACTGTTGTACTTCATTTATCACCACACAGTGGTCACACACCTATGATGCAACCAATATATCCAAAAATATAATATATTCTATTATTCACAATCTCATGTGTCTTCTTGTCCATTTCCCCATAAAGTGTCATCTTGGAAATCATTATATCTAAACATGCTAAATAATAAAACATTTCCTCCGTATACCCGTTCATGTAAGAAAATGAATTGTCCTTGAGCAATGAGAAAAAGCCCAAAATATAATTCAATCCCGGGGGATGGGCGGCTTGTAACGTCAAATCCATCTACTTTCTCTGTAACATTTTCTTGTTGAGATCACCTTTCCTTTTCAGTCCCCCCCTTCTCAGACCTTCATTCTTCTGTTATGATTGAAGGCAAAGTGTCGTGTAACAGGGAACCTCTAATGAAAGGTTTGGATGTCATACAGATTGTCATATAAATGTTTTTTTCACCTTCCTAATGGTTTTCTCTATATAATCAGTATATAGATAACCCCACGAGTGTCACAACTGATATTTCCAAAACCTAACATTTAAATCTTTTTTCTCTAAATGCTAAAGCTAAAATTGCTCACCTGGCATACAATGTCACTGTCACTAAGTGTCACACTCAGTGACAGCGACATACTTTGAACATCACTGTAATGAGGGGGTTAAATCAAAAACATTAACCCCTTAGGGTGAAAAACACATCTGCAGTGGCACCTGGGGGGTCAGGGTTGTGGGAAAGAGGCCCTTGTGCTCATCAACATAGGGACAAGGTGCTTTGCCAGGGGGTCCATCTGCCAAAGCACCCTCCCCATGTTGAGGGCATGTGACCTGGTATGGTGCAGGAGGGGGGGACCAACGCTCATTCTCCCCGGTTCCTGCTTTGCCAGGATGCTGCTCAGATCAAGGGTCTGGTATTGGATTTTAAGGGGTTTTTTTGGATTGGTTTCCCCCTAAAATTCTTACCAGACCTGTAGTGTCTGGTATGAATTGTATATGAAGAGAAAGGTTTGTTGCACTCCTTACCGGATAATCCCAAATATGGGGAAGGGTGCTTGGAATGACCGCGGATGTCGCCGCCAGTTGCAGATAATAAAGAGATGTCACCAGCACAACAGACTCCTTCAAGGATAGTCAATCCTGAATTTATTCAAAACTTATGTCAAATACACAAGCGCTTTCGGGACCACACAGGATCGCTTCATCAGGCATAGAAGTGACAAAGTTACAAAAGACAGTGTGCGTATATATAGATAAACATGAGCGCAAGAACAGACAAAAACACTCCCCCTAGGCATCACTATGACATCATCAAAATTTCAAACAGCTGGTGACATCTCTTTATGGTATGAATTGTGGGCGACCCCATGTTTTTTTTTTTGTTTTTTTTTTATTGCTTCTGTGGACTCTAACAAAATTTAAAAGACAAAAATCACATTTTTTTTCTAATGTTGCTGCAATAAAAATGTGTTTGTAATTATCTAACGCTTCCGGTATTAATAGGGATGCACCAATACCAAGTGCCGTACTCGGTACAAGTACAAGTGTAAGTACCGATACTTTTCCCGCTCCAAGACAAGACTAGAGAACAATTGAAACGTTAGGAGGCAGCTGTCATATGTAAGGAGCACACGGAGCTCCCGGGATTTGTACATCTCTGTTTTATTGTATGATTTTGTTTTTATAAATATATATAAGGGGATGCACCGATAAAAGTTTTTCCAAGTACAAGTACTGATACTGGTCCAAGTCCTCACAGATACGAGTACTGATACTGGTCCAAGTTTTCACAGATACGAGTACTGATACTGGTCCAAGTCCTCACAGATACGAGTACTGATACTGGTCCAAGTCCTCACAGATACGAGTACTGATACCGGTCCAAGTCCTCACAGATACAAGTACTGATACATTTTTGTTTATTGTCATGTGACAGTGTTTCTGAAACAATACAGACTAATGATTTCAGGACAGTGGTGGAGCGCCAGAGCCAGGTCCCAGCTGCAACCGCTGCAACCCTGGTAGTTCTCATGAAAATGCCAAGTATCGGCACTGGTATCGGCACTGGTATCTGATAAGTATCGGTGCATCCCTAGAAAAAAAAAATTTAGATTCTGACAAATCCAAATAATGAAACAAATTGACTTTCGGAGCTGCATCCCAAAAAAACAAATTTTCCAGCGCACATGTCTATAATCTACGGGGGGGTGTTGGACTGGTTACTTTTTGACATTTTTAGACTTTTTTTATTTAATAAAAAGTTAGAAAAGGTCGAGTGAAGGCAGACGATTGGTCAGTATTCTTCCATCTGGGAATAAGAAAGATTAGAGTGATATTAAAGTCAAAAGGTTTCAAGATACTTCAAATGTTGATGAAATCACTTACAATGGTTGCTGCTCCTTGATGCTAAAAGGTTTCAGCTTCTTGCAAAATCAGCTGATCCCCTGAGCACCGACCCTGATATCCTGTTGTAGGGTGGCTCCTTTCCAATTGCAGGGTTCTATGGAGCCACCCTTCTGTGTGCGAGTAAGTTGTGTGTGTCTCCGTGGGAGTCCCTTGCTACGTGATCCCCGCTTCTCCTTCCTCCCTTCTCCAAGCCAGAAGATGGACAGTTGCTGGAGACTGTGCTCTGTCCCTTGTGGTCTTGTACTGGAAAGGAACTTCAGGGGAGCCAAGCTGAGAGAGTTGGATCTGTTTGGAAACATGATGACTGTATGTATTTGGGAAAACATTAAAAAAAATACATTGCTGGGAGATGTATAGTTTTTTGATTTGGATTCATAATTGAAACAAACATTGTCTAATACTACATATGGAGTTTATAGAGTTCTATATCGAGTATAATTCTACTTTCAGCTTGGATCTTGGCTCGCTCATCTATAGGTAGGATTAGGGTTACACACTGTAGCTGCTTACATAGATACATTATTTGTGTTTTATAACCATCAGCCTGAGAACCCATCCTTACTCAGAGCATACAAATATCTATAACTATCTCCCCCTAGTAATAAATCATGCAAAAACACCATTCTCATGAAGACAATAGTCGGTGCAGCAAAACGTATCC